AGAGTGTTATTCTAGCATGCTAAAATCCGTTGCAATGCTCGCAAAGCCTCAAGTTGCAGATTACATTCCGCACACAGCGTACGCGGCGTTAACTCAATTAGCATCCCAGGAAGGATAAAGCATACGTTAAACTCTCATTCATGCCGATAGCTAAAACCTTCGAACGTCATCGCAAACAACCTGTGATACGAACATCAAACAAGTGCCCAAAATAACGATCGTGTACATTTTTCCTCGAAAAAAGCTTCTCTTTTTAATTAGTTTCACTTTTGTAAGCTTCCATTTCCAACTACGGTAAGAGCTCCGATAAAATCTGAAAGTAACGGTTTATGATCATAACGATAAAGATATTAAATAATAGCAGATACTAATAATAGTGTAACTTTGTCGTAAAATTGTATAAAAAATAGTAAAGGCTAACTGTACAATATAGTATAAAGGGTACGATCCATCGATTGTTCAATGTACATTATTATATACAAACTTAATCCTTTTTTATGCTTCCACTATCTATTTTATACTTCAGAAACTCCTATTCTATTACAGAAGTATAATAATAGTATCTCACACGAATAGGTTCGTCTGAAGAAAATAATATTCTTTATATTAAAGAGATATACCCTTATTAAGAATCCAATATAATATTTTTAATTATTTATGTTATTGGCTAAATAAATGCAAGTATAATGAAAAGAAAAATTGCTAAGAAGACAGTTAAACTCGTTGTGGTTGATAAATACCTTTAATCGCTGATAACCCTTACGATAAAGAATAGCTTAAGTGACCAACCCTTGTCTACCGGATTACTCGCTGAAAGTAAATATAAGAAGAATCAAGAAATGTCAAAGAATGAGTATAGCATTTACATGAAGAGTATAACATTTTTGTGTAGATATTTCTTTGATATATTGTACATTTTCGGAAATGGTCTGACAAAGTCTGTTGTCAAAGATCGATTAACACTGCTTTCAGTACGCCGATAGGGTAGCGAGCCCGTAGGATTGCTCCTACTGTACCGTTTATCGGGGTCACGAATATAGCGAGAATGAAAAATGCCCGTCAATGACGAACTCTCCATGTAGGTCGGCGGCGGTCACTGTCGTTAGCGGCACGATTTTGCTTTTGTTAAGGGGTTAGGACACAGTGACGTGTTAATAAGTAATACGACTTTTAAACAGTAGGTACAAAGTAAAAAGTAAAATATATTCTTTGTGCATTGATGATTTCATATTTCAGTTTTTATGGAAATTGATAAAATAGCAGGTATCCAAAATTGAGTTAAAATTTGTTAACTTTTTGTTTATATTTTACAAAATAATTATGAAATAAAAGAATTAACTATCAATGCTCAATAAATACTACATAATAATAAAGACGTATTTAAAATTAATAAACGTAATTTTTCTATCTTTTTCTATCACATATTTTTTTACTTATCTCGTCATTCCCGCCTCGTACATATGACTCTCAGTTACAACTTTCTATGGACAATCTTTGAAATTTACGAATGAGCCGCTCTTCTTTTGATGTTTCAGACGTTTATTTGTCTACTATTTTAATTCTCTGTTCATCGAGTATCTTGCATGTCGCAACTACTGTTGTTCCTATAGTTATATTCATAGTGTGCATCATTGATAGGGTACTAGAATAGGCTATTGAAGGTACTGGCGGCAATATAAGCAGTAATTCTCACCGTTGTAATGCCGCTAAATACTCTTTTCAGATCGAGAGACCGAATCAAATTGTTTAGTCCCTCACTTCAATTTTCTGAGAATCCGCCCACATAGTGTTCTAGCAAATAACCGTCATTTAATTCCTTATAAATAGGCGTAATTGCTTTTGGTACATTTGCATGTAACGTTGGTTTGTATTTATAATCGCGGAGTTCATTGTTGGCTTTCGCTATCTGGTAAGTCCGCCAACTGTCCAGCCCAGACGGACAATTTTCATATTGCGGATTAGCGTCGGTGGTATTGCTTTGATGCAATCCGAATTGCCTTTTTCATTTCTTCTTTACAATCTTTCTGTCTTCGTACAGTTAAATCTTAATAAAGCTCAATCAGTTTCATTGTTAGCTTTCCTTTTTGGTTCGAGTAACTTTGTACCATTTTTATTTGATCTGCTGTTGGACATGTATTTTTCTATTTGTCTGGCTTTATATCTGATATACAACCTATTTTATTATTAAAATGTCACCACTTTATGATCGTGAATCGATTATAGTTTTGTACATTTTTTTATCATTAATATTTAGTGCCATATAATTGTGCCTTGCAATTTCAGATTGCAAATATCTCTATTACTTCATCTACCTACATCAACTTCAATCTTGATCGTGAAACAACATTAGTCTCTATGCGATCTACTTTCGAATTTAGGTGTATTCCTTTGCTTTCCCAAAATTCATACATTTTACAACACAATAATTTTATGTTGATAATTAGAACTTTTGTATGTTGTCGTGATGAGTATTAAAAGTCTCATGTGAGCAGTAATACGTCGATTATTTTGTACTTCACAGTTCTCATACTTGTCCATTAGTTCGTCGATTCTATGCTCTTTAATATTTAATTCACTGAAAATAATATTTGTCAAACATCTTACATTTCGTTAAAAATAGTGACAAAGAAACTAACAACAAGAAATTAATTATGCATTACCTTTGCGCCACACTCAAGATATTTAGAATTCAGTAGAACCCGTTTTATTTTTAGAATTCCTTTACTTATTTATCATAATCTTGTTTTATTGATTCCTTTTGCCTTATTTATGACGTGTACAATCTTTAAATTACTCTAAGGAAGTGCTCTGTGTACTAGTAAGATCAAATTGGCAATAAGAATTTAGTGTCACTGTTACCTGAAAATGTGTTGGAAAATTGTGGGAAATATACAGTGGTCAAGTCCTCTATCATTACAATCTTTAGAACATAGTGCAAGCTCTGAAAGAGACTCTGCTGTCTATTATGTATGCATCAGTGTGTCAGCACGTGGATATATGATTTCTCGACGCCTACAAAAAATAATTTGTTTTATGAACCTTTTGTATTACATTTTCAAAACTGCTATACACACAAAAAGAAAAAAAATATGCTTTCATTTCCAAGATCTTGAACACAGTTTTTCCGTCATTGCGATTAAAAAGTCATAATTTTCATATTACACTTAAATCCTGCCTTTGTAATAATCAAAATAATGAAAATTGCAATATATGTTAAATATAAATGTGAGAAATTTTGTTATGAAATCCTTGTCTTGGAACTCACTGGTGTAACCTTTACCTGACCTATTACCCTTTACAATAGCTTTAAAAAACTTACTTTTTATTATTGTTTATATCTTTTACTTCTATAATGTTCCAAAAATGTAGTGTACAAGTATCAATGGTTTTCTAGTAATAGGAGTATTTCAAGATACTAGAGTTACTGATAAGTTTAGCAGACGATTGATTTATTAAACTATAGTTAGCTATCGAACTAAGTTATATCAATTTCAAGCTTCGTTGTACCGCTAGTTAGATGGTATACATTTACTTCTTACAATGATTCGCCTCTGAATCTCGAATTTCAACTTATGCCCAAAGATTACCGTAATCCTACTAGTTATTATGCTATTCAACGCGTTGATTCCAATCAACCGATACTCCCGATGAATCACCAGTGACCTATGATATTTACCGAGGAACGGAATGATGTTCAAGGAAACGTGCACGCGTTGTTCGGTTCGATATCGGGCGAAACAACTTTGTAGAAAGGAAATGGGATTATGAAGAATTTAGCACTGTCTAGACTTAGTGGTATTGAATATTACAATGTAACTTTTTCACGCTTTGAAACTTTCTTAACATCTTAAATTTCGCGCGTCATCGAACATGCGTTCAACAGATAGGAGATCGTAAGACATTGTTCAAGAAGCTACGAGTTATAAGCGCATTTCGTGGCTATTTCAAATAAAACTTATACGCGAAAAAAGTTTCCGGCCTTATTAATGTGGTTCTTCTGTAGGTATGGACACGTCAGATATAAAAAAAACTTTGCTGTTAGCATCAAGGATACATGCATATGGAATAAGATTGTGAACATCGCGACTTTGCTTCGATTGACCGCTAAGCTCGTTGGTTCTTATGGATCAGTTGTTTGTAGTTCTGACCCGTTGTCCTTCATATCCCACATGCTGCACGAATTGCGTGGTTGCATAAAAAGTGTATTGACGATAATGAGAGTGACATTAACTGCATATTATTTGCTTTGGCAGGTATAATTAAGCATTTTCTTAATGTCATTAATTTTCTTTCCCTGAAATGTAACACGACAAAGTGAATTAGTGGTAAATTTAATAATTGTACGTTCTTTACTTACAATTAGTATAATTTTTTTTACTTCGACACAATTGGAATGAAATAGAATCGAGAGAAGTGAATTATATATTGTCAAGATAGATCAAAATTATTCGTGGAAAGAGAACTTGTATACAATATGATCTTATCACACATTGCAAAATATACCAATGAAGTATTTATAATTGTGTTCAGTTGAACAGCGTAGAACATTGTACGAAAAAGATTCCATGATAAGAGCGTTTAATACATACCACTTTGAGATCGATTTATTCAAACATTTCCAATGTCATATTTAATAACAAAGACAACACAAGAATCATTGTACACCACACAACAATATTATCTGATTGCAAACTGCTGTTTTCTTTGTCCTAAACAAATCAGTTGCTCAAGGCTTGTCATTGATGATTTGTTATATATCGTGCTTTATCAGTGTGTGCACATGTTTATTTCGCCATATTATTCATCCTAAAAATAAAAAGTACATATTTTTCAATATATATTTTCCATTTCATAAATATATGGAATAGCAAGAAAAAAACGAAGACGGCGTTCTATATCAGATTTATCGCCACCAGAATAGTTTGTATATAAAAATAGTAAAATTGTATTATTAAAAAATACCGATATGCTAATTGAGGATTTACCATTTTTTGTTTCAGCGTGTGTTTACAAAGTTCAGTGTGGGAGGGGGTAAGTGAGACTTGGCGACGAGCAGGAAGGGTGTTCTCGGACACCAAAAGCTGGGGCACCCTGACGAGGAGGTCCTGGAGGAGGAGGTGGGTCATAGGAGAGAGGAAAGAAAGGAGGTGACCATCCACCCCACATGGACGCCACCCCCAAAGGACCCCCCGTACCCCCCACACCGGATATCCTGTCACCATTATTTAGCCGCAGAATATCCGACCTGAACGTAAGGGCACCGTTTTTTGTCCTGCATCGTCCTCAACGTTCTCGTCGAATATCGAGACATCCGTCACTTGATGCTTGTCGTACGACGGAAGCGACCGCCTACGCGTCATCTTTATCTTACACGTGCCTCAATTTCTCTCGTCTTTTTCGCCGTAAATTGGAACAATTGCCGAATCTCTATTTCCACATCCTCGATAACAATAATCAACCTGTTTATTTAAAGTTGAATATCCCGGCGAAGGACAGACGAGTATCAATCCTAAAATCGAAAAATCATTATCGTTCCTGGGGTCCATGGGCAAGGACAATCATTTCGAGAACGACGGCTTCAGGAACGAGAACCAATGTAACAGCATTCGCAACGATATTACTCTCGTTAAACAGAGATAGGAGGTCATTTTTTACCCTCGTTTTTACACCACGGCGATCGTGCCATAAGTTTGATGCATTTTTTACAATACCAGTCGCGAAGCGTCTTCGAGCCGAGAAAGTACTTTTAACAGGCGTTACCTTTCGTGCGAAACATATCTACGGACTCCGTCCAAAAGCGCCTAACTCCGAACTGCAGCCTAACAGACCACGCAAACAATGTCGCGCAGTGCTGCCACGCGTCCTATGCAAGGTGAGTTAAAGTTATTAAATTGTTTACTATGTACTCATGATAAATGAAAAACTTAAATAATTCTTGATACTCATGGGTGTGATGTTATTTCGAACAGCTCCGTATACACACTTGATCGATGATTCTCAAATTAAACAGTATTCCTATATAAATATGTCTGGTTCTTAATACATTAATGAAAAGTACTTACATTTTGATTATAACCGCTAACGACGAATGCTATGCACTTTATTATCGATAAGATTTTCGTATTGCCGTTTTATGGTCGTTTAATATCCACCAATTGATTAATAACTCCATCTACGAAGTGCATTCGATATCTAAAACACAGCGGCAAATGAAAACATTGTGACACGAATTTCTGCTGTTCCACGTTTAAACCGCTGGTTTGGGTCAATTCCAACGGTTTACTTGTTTTGGCAATCGCTAACGTAGCAATCCACTTTACCCCCAAGCGGTGGATGTTTCCCGGCGACACGCGGTGGTTGTTGCCTTGGAATTTCATGGCACCACCAGCGAGGTGACTTGTGGCGCCGTCAAGGGACGACGCCTTGAAGTCTCTCGACGATCATCGACGAACAATACCTCGTTCGACGACTCGGGTCTTCGTTGTACTGTTCGAAGTGCAAAGCACGCCGTCGTGCAACGGCACCCTCGTGCAGTGCGTGAGAAACGTGATATATACGCGATGTGCGACGTGTAACTTTAATCCCTATATTTCGTGATCGGTAATCCGTAAACGGTATATGTAATTCGTGTTCAGAGGTGTCGAAGATAATGGTTATGATGACGACAGTGCTGACAGTGGCAGAAAACATAGAATGCCGGTGCCGATGTTCGACAATCGTCGAAACGATAGATGGTGCCCGCCCAACACGCACCGGTTGATCGGTTTACCGTGGAAATTGTAAAAGGACCAGAGTGTCAGTGTCGTGTATCTCAATCTGTTCGTTGCTGTCATCGTCGACATTGTGCGACATTCTAGTGTAGATTTCTATGTGGTTGGTTCCTTCCTGTAGTTCGAAGGAAGCATCTTTATCGAACTATTGATTATCGTGGAAGCGTTTGGTACGTTTTTCTGTGCGTAAATTAAGTGAACGCAGCCTGGTTATAAAATTTACGTTAAACGGCCTCGATATGTTCTCTCATCAACGACGATCGTTATAACGACGTCGCCCTCGTCGACGCGGGCGCTTCGACCGCCTGTACCCTTGCACTAACTGCGAAAACAACGAGGTAACCTGATTCTCTTAGAAAGAAAACGAAGGTCATATGCTGCTGTAGAAACGATCGTATGCTGCTAATGTCAAAAAGAGAAATTAGGAAACATTATTGCTGCGTATTTCGTAAACTATTTTTTATTCCACGGAATCAACGAAACAACCAGGAATCGATACGATCAAACGTTATATGTCGATGACATTTTGTTATCAAATGTAGTGCCGGTAATCGGTCCGAGTGATCAACGATAGAAGGCATCTGATAAATACATACGTTTGCATGAATACATGTTGGAACATTACTCGATAGATGTTAAGTGCCTACATGGTATCTTTCGCTTACTCGTTACGATTGTCAGGCTTATTAATAGATATATATTTTTTTGTGTCGTCTTTTTTCATGTGAATAGGAATTACTTTTTACATAGACGATGATATTCACTAGAATGGCTGTCTATTTATTGTCTATAGTCGTGCATTTAGAACATGGTCAGACGCGCGTTATTAAATTCTTTTCAAACGAGGTTAGTTGCCCATCTATTTTAGCATTTTATTGATGGTGTAATACAAAAGAAATGAAATGGGTGTAACGAACACTCAGGATCGCTCGAGCACCTTTGACGCCAGTGACGGCGCCCATTTAGCAATTTCCTAAGCAAATGTAAATCTAGCCTTAAATGACTTGCTTGCGGTCGGTGTCGATGATTGTGGGTGATATTCTTACCTTATTATTCTCCACAACGTGTTGAAACTATGACCTCGATAAAAATGTAAGAATATGAAACTTTATTTAGATAAACAAAATTATTTCCGAAATATTGAAGCATTATATTCATAAACGTATATTTTATATTTATACATTGTAATCATAGTTTACGATATTTATAAATTTAACAAGGATCTTCTCGTTTTAATATTATGAATTATGTTCTTAATTGTTTAGTAATCGTTCCTCCTGCGCGAATTTCAAGAAATTGAGTCATTACGAAGCATTTAGCCCTAGGAAACCGTCATATCTATCGTAGCCTGGAAATATCGAAGTGGAACGCCGCGAACGTAAGAGTCGTCACGGAAAATAAATATTTTGACCAATATTATTAATTTACCTTGCGTATCCATTTTCATAAACGAATAGATTCGCAATAATAAATAAAGTAGCACGAATGATAATCGATCGCTACATTCTATGATAGACTGGTGAGAAAAGCTATTTGAATATTTGAATACATAACTAAATACAAAAATATCGCAGAATTAAACATTTTTTTTCAAATATATCATTCGATGAAACTTCTGGAGTATTATAAAAATATTTTACTCTCATACTTTTTTATTTTTTTTATTTTCTCAAATTTGATATTTAATTGATATTTTGATAATTTAACATAGATCTGATATGATAAATCGGACAAGAAAATCGAACTATAAATGGTGTGGCGAGGTTAATGCGGCATAATTTCGAAGAATTATAACACCTAGGTCTCATTCGTACTTTCTATGTCTTCATGCAGTTTCTTATCTCAAAACTCGCTAAACTGGTTACACTCTAAGTAATAGCGCCTGTAACAGCGTGCACACTAAATTTCGTTAAAATTTCTCTCCTGTACGAACAGACAAAATGCATAGTGTACTCGTCTTATGTTTGTCATTGGAAGTGTGACCTCTTTTATTTTCCGTCGCGTACATCTTTGAGACTTTCCAAACACGACGCAATGTCTACAGGTTCCTATTCTCATTAACGTCTGTTGTTTCTGCTTGCTGCAGGTGGAAAAATTTTTGTCTGCTTCTTTTTTCTGACTATCTGCAATGGAAAAAATAAGCATCGAAATCTTTATACTCGGCAACCGCGAAGATGCAATTAAACGGATATTTTCTCGTTAATATCGGTAACTCAGACTAGCTGGATCAGCGCCAGTTATTGGATTTTAAATCGGCTGCTCGTAAGGTAACACGTAAAAAGTTTGCAAATGATATTTGCTGTAACACTGCAATGATCTTTAACGCCGTTATCTTACGTGTAGCGTGAAACGTGAATTACATAACAATTATACACGCTGGAAAAATCTCAATGGCTGGTAAATAACAGGTGTTATTAATCCTTCGTGATCAAAAAAATGTATAAATTAAATGCTTTTTCTATATGTATAATTTTTATTTAACAAATAGAATCGAGATAATTATTATTATTTTATGTTTTAGCATAACTGGTTCACGTTTGGTGTCGACATGATTTCTCATTTTTCAAGAACCAATTTACAATCTGCCGAGAGTCTTCTCGAACTCCGGTTTATTTCTGAAGTGAAATAACGTAATAGAAGAAGGGCGTGGAAACGAGATCTCTCCTAGCTTTTCCATTATCATTGGAATGGCGTGAGGCTGTATTTTCAGGCAAATTTCAAGTGAACTGTACTAAAGCGAATTATAAAGAATCTCATTGCAAGTTTCAGCCATGTTGCGGTAGTTTGTTTTAGGATTAGCGTTAGAGTTTCGAGTTCGGTAATTTTGACAATTTCCACAGACTTACCTGCACTATGTTTTCTATCACGAATAAATTCTAACCTATCGTTCCATCGGTAAAGTAAAATTACAAAGCTTTGTGTTATATATGTGTTAATAACGGAACGGAACGTTCTAGAAATATTTGCTAGCTTGTAACACGTGCCACGTAAGAAGTAAAAGAATAAAAAAAATAGTTATCCATCTTGTGCTGTCTCGTGCGCATATGTAAACAAGTAAAGGAACGATTAAAGACGGTAGAACAATCAATTATACGTTAACTCGTGCATCAACAATATTAAGATTGTTAGGTTATGCGCTTCGGCTTCATATGAACCAAAATATCGAGCATGTCCGGTATTAGAAAAAGAATTTCGAGGACAATCAGTGATCGTTAGTATCAAGAAATGACGTGGCATAAAATCACATTAAGAAATCTTATAATTGATCCGGTTGAAAGCCTTCGAAAGATACCAAGACACGACTGAATACGAACGTGCGTCTCCGTACATACATGCGCGCGCACTTACGATTTATAGTTCGGTAAAGTTCGTGGCGTCGCGCACGCACGCCAAAATAGTTTCACGATGCAACTACACAGAGTGAATTTCGTGTGTTTACAATATTTAAGTATCAGTCTGTGTTCGTACCACAAAAGCAATTTCCGCGAAAACGTCAGCATGATTCCCGCAGGTTGAGAGCCACTGACACCTTACGTAAGAGCCATTATCGTAGCTCGCGTCTTAGGAGATCGGCTAGTAAAACGGTCTTAGTCTTCTTCGTCATGGATTCCCTGGGAATCTCGACCGGTCTATAGATAAAGACAGACCGAGAACCGCCAATATTTTAAGGAGGTACACACGTCGGATATTTTCGTTCTTAGACGCCCAAAGCGGCCTCGTCAAACACGCTGACATCATCCGTGTATATGGAATCAAGGACAAGCGTAGAAAACATCACTTTCAAAGGATTCATATTTGTCGCATGCTCCCTCTACCAATGAGAGGCATTGTTAAATCGAGTCTTCTTCTCTTTTCCTTCTGTCCTTTTTGACATGGGAAATTTTATTTTTCAGACAGTAGCAGACACGTATTTCGATATTCGTCGTGGCTTACCATAACCTTTTATGTCATCGGAATTATCTGTAAAATTCATATGTGAACGTAATATTATTCGGAAAGGATATAGTCATTTTACGATATACCTCGGTTTTCCTCCATACTCTTAATTTATTCTTCACATCATTCGCATAATCATTCTTTTTACTGGATACTAACAGTTTTC